TGATATAGAAATATAATAAATCGTACATTGACGTCCTATTTTAGTTAAAATTCATGATTTAATACATTGGTTAAAACATAACAGAGTTCATTGTTTAAAATCATATATATGAATTTATTAAGAGCATATCCATGCAATTTTTAGATAGAATTTCCAATCAATTAAATATTCATTGAAAATTAAAAACTAATAACATCCGTGATGATTCAATTGTAATATTTATTGTTCCATAATTATATATCATGAATTTGTAGAAATATAGATATATAATTTGTTTGGTAGTTCTACTATAAAGAAAAACATTTATCATTCGCTCTTACAGTCTCACATAACGCAGGCCAAAGGCCAAGAAAAGGCTCTTAACCCGTCACTCACCTTTTGCACCATTCTTGAAGAAGCCCAACGAAACCTTTAGAACTATATTTATTTAAGCCTATTCGCACAACAACACATTTCTCTCCTCTTTCATGGATCGTTTTAACGAAAGACGACACGCTCAATTCCATTCCACCAATTAATAAATTTCTATCGACACTTCATCGATATATAACGAAAGACCCGATTAAACATCCTTGAAATAATAATAAATCTATCCTCCATCTTCATCCATCGAATTTCAAGGAATTCAAATTCTTCTCTCAAGCTATATTCGAAAAATTGAAGAAAGTCTTCAATCACGAATCACATAGCTCGTTTCGTTGCGCGCCAAATTCAAATTTCCTTCGCTATCCTTCGATTTAACTCAAGCAAATCTTCGTAGCGACGAATATTAAATATTTTCTATGAAAACTGTAAATAAGAAATCCTTAAGCTCCATACGTTTACCTATAAGATCTATGATCCTTGATTCGCACAGTTCGATTGCCTAAGCGCGCCAAATTCAAATTTCCCTCGCTATCCTCCGATTTAACGCAAGCAAATCTTCATAACGATGAATATTAAATATTTTCTATGAAAATAACTGTAAATAGGAAATCCTTAACCTTCATACGTTTACCTATAAGATCTATGATCCTTGATTCGCACAGTTCGATTGCCTAAGCGCGCCAAATTCAAATTTCCCTCGCTATCCTCCGATTTAACGCAAGCAAATCTTCATAACGATGAATATTAAATATTTTCTATGAAAACTGTAATTAAGAAATCCTTAAGCTCCATACTTTTACCTATAAGATCTATGATCCTTGATTCGCACAGTTCGATTGCCTAAGCGCGCCAAATTCAAATTGCTCCCCTCCCATTCTTTCAATATCGTTTCAAATAATGAAAACGATAAAATGAGATAATTAATCCGAGAAGGGATCGCGATTCACGAACCACGTAGAGCAGTTACGGTGTCGTGCGCCACGTTCGAAGAATCTCGACGACGATCGAGGGGGGAAATGAAGACGTTAACCTCTCTCGCTCGCTCTCCCCCCCCCCCCCTCTCGCTCCGTGCATCGTGTGTAAAAGCCGCGGGCACAGGCTTCCCGCTGTTCGGGAAATCGATAAATTCACCGAGGCGATATCGATAGTGATAGCTACCTACGTTTTATCGCGCGACGATGCGCGATCACGATCGATACCGCCACTATGAATCCTCTTTTTCGCCGCGGCGGGTGGCCGAGGGCTCCCCCTGAAAGCGTAGAAACGGGCTCGACACCGCTGTGCCCTTCCTCCTTATTTTCCATTTTGCTGTCTCTACGGTTTTTCTTATTCTTGAGTCGCCAAAGGCACGCCTGCACTTGTTGCGTATATATATGTATAGGTATATCTTATGTTGAGTGGCATTCACTGTTGCTACGTAAATATTTAGTGTCTCGAAATGTGGGAGGAATCTAGAGTTTAATAAATTTGGATTCTAGATTCAAAAGAAATGAAAGGAGTTTTGGAATTTTGAATATTTTTTTTTTTAATGAATCTTAAAAAAATGGAAGGATGTTATTAACTAATTGGGTGATACTAGGGCAGAATGATTTATAATTATATGTTGTACGTCATCGTTGCGTGTTTGTATCGTGGTGATATATGAAAGAGACATTTTGTTTCTTTTGTGACGGAAATAAGCGAACGGTAAAGCAATGCTACACTTCCTACGTCCAAGGTTGCTTATAATTGGATATTGTGTCATTCCTTTGATGCGATCATGATAAACCGACAGGTAATGAATATATTTGCAAGAGTAAAATTCTCGAGAATTGTTTTCAATAATATTTCTCACAAATAGATATTGTGTTGCTGTTCGATTCGTATTCGAAACCTTTTTGGAAAACAAATTCACTCTTTCGTCAAATCGAATTCAAACCCATTTAAGTAAAAAATAGAATTTCTTCAGTTTTAGTTTGTATTCCATGCACAAAGAGAAAGACACAAGTTCTTCTCCAGAAATAAAATTGGAGCAATTTTATTTTTTACTAAATGGACAGTCTCTAGAATTGGTCTCGGTTACGTCGACAAAGAGAGGAACAGCGTATCCTTCTTTTTGTAGAATAAAGAAAAATTGGAACAATTCTAGTTTTTGCTATAAAAGATAAATAATCTCCAAATTGACTTTACTTATATCCACATTTTTCTTATCTGAAATTCTTACAATTTAAGGATAATTTGATGTGCAAAGTAATAAATTTGAAATTCAAATTCTGAAATAAAATAAAATAAAATAAAATATTAAAAAAGGTATTATCATACTTTCTTTTTTCATAATTCTATCTTATATTTATTACATCATTGCAGCAAATTTGTTCTCGTTTCCGATTCATCGATGTTTCATGGGAATTTCGCGATTGCCACGTCCGGCCAATTAATCATAACAGGAAATGAATCTATCTTGGATATCTGAAATTGGTGTAAACATGGTGTAAACATTTTTATTCCATTCTTCTATGTTATACGATATTTTTCATCTTGATATTTTTAATTTGACAAGCAATTTGATTGAGTCAAGAAAGATTATTGAAAGCTTGGAATCTTTTTCTTTTGATTATGTTGGGAATTTATTTGATTTTTTAGAAATAAATTAAGAAAATATTCTTAGTAAGTGGAAACATAGGTAATGAGTATTAAGTCTAAAAGAATTTTATAAGAAATTTTGAAATATTTGAGGAGAAAGAACGAGGAGAAATGATTGCATCTGGAAATTTAACTTGAAGGATAAAGTGAGAAAGAAAAGTTTTAGGAAAAATTTTTGAATCGTGGAACGAACGAATCACACAAAAAGCATTGATTTATTTTTCTCGCTCGAACTTGGAAAAGAATAGATAAGAAACGACACTGTTTCACTCTTTCGATTCTTTCAATCGGAAAAGTTATCTGAAACGAGCCGCGTATCTAATCTTCGACGTTAAACGACGAGATGCCAAATAGGTTATGAATGAGCATAGTTCAGTAGCACTTTATTTCTTATCGTAAAAACATTCCATTGTCAACATCTCTTGTTCTTTCATCATTCATTCTTTTCATTCACGAGTTACTGTTTACACGAGATAAACACGACATATTTTCATTCTTCGATAAAATTCGCGGGAAAAATTGTTGCTCGAGTTTCTTAGTCAATACAAGAAAGATCTCGAAAACTTTTGAATTTCATTCTCTTCTTCTTTTTTCCTTTCTTTTCTTTCTCTCTTTTTTTTCAAATTTGCTTTTAAATGATAATTTTTCCACCCACTTCACAGCAAAAAGATTAATCTTTTTAATATTCAATAAATATTTTAACAAACATTATCGCAATCATTCATAAACTTCACAGTAAAAAGATTGATCTTCTTCCCAACGAACTGCACCTTTATAACAAATAATTAATTCAATTCATCTTTTTTGATCCATTCTTCATCCACCTCATAAAAGAACAATTGATCTTCTTCATATGTTATAAATATTTTAATAATCATATCGCAATCTTTCCTAAACTTTACAGCCAGAAAAATTAATTTCCAAACTATATACTTCGAATCCACCTCAGAACAATCAATATCTCGAATAAACTTCACAATAAAAGAATTAATCTCCTCTTCGATAAAAATCATCGAATCGAATTCCAAAACATTGAATCCTTATACATACGATAAATATATTTAATAATCACACCGCAATTCTTCGCGAACGAAAAAGGTAGATCCATCCACGAATTCTCTCTACTGCCAAGAAAAAAAAAAAAAAAAAAAAAAAAAAAAAAAAAAAAAGAAAAAAAAAAAAAAAAAAAGAAAAAAAAAAAAAAAAAAAGAAAAAAAAAAAAAAAAAAAGAAAAAAAAAAAAAAAAAAAGAAAAAAAAAAAAAAAAAAAGAAAAAAAAAAAAAAAAAAAAAAAACAGAAAAGAAAAGAACAAACGACACAAATACTCGGAGTTCCAGCACGACGCCGATCGATCATTCGACCTAGTCGCAAATAAATTCCTGCCTCCTTTTAGCGACTCTCCATCCCTCTGTAAAGGAAAACCACGTCCATTCCTCCTCCCCCTCCCCTCCTCGTCCCCCAGCGCTGCAGCTAAGCGCTGCATTCCTTTAAGCGCGAGTTTTTCGCATCTCCTTGTCAGCCAAGGTATCTCGTCTCGCATTAATGAAGGGAGCACCCGTTTTCGTCGTGGTCGACGCTTTTTCTGACGAGGCCTTCATTCACCAAACGGGCAGAGTCGCGGCAACCAAACCGAGCGCGGAATCCCAAGCCGTTAATGATCACAGAATGTTTGTTCATGTAAATAAGGATCCCCTTTTTCTTTCGCACGCTTCGCTCGAAACGAGTTTATCGCACCTGGGGGCTCTGGATACCGCCGATAATGACTCCAGTTTTGGCCCCTTTCAATTCATGAATTGAATGGATGAGAAAAAAAAAAGAAAAGAAAATGGTGTTTGCGTGTTTTCATAGAATTATGATTTTCTAGGATGCTTTTTGTAGGATGTGATTATAAAGAGATTAGGTGTAATTATTATTTCTTTGTTCTTCGTGTTTTAAAAATTTTTGGATTTGATTTTAATATAGGTTTGTTAGAAATTTCTTTTAACTAACAGAGAATTTTTTTTCTGTTGCAGAAATCGAAGCGCAAGAGGCTTGCAAATGGTTGAGGGCGGCTGGTTTTCCACAGTATGCGCAGATGTATGAGGGTAAGTCGAATAATATTTATTAATTAATATTTATTAATTGGATTGTAAATGTTTTTTTATGATATAACAGGAAAATATCGTGTCATCTATTTTCCTTCGTAACATCGTATTATATTCTGAACAAAAGGAAGAATATATATATATATATATATAAGTGGAGCTTCTTCGCTTCTCTTTAAACAGTACCAAGAATAATTCTAATAAATAGAACAACGATCTCAATCTTGGATGATTATTGTAGAAAAAATTTACAAGCACATATTGACTCGAATAACAAACTGTCCGGAACTACATAATAGAAACCTGTCGCGTCGATAAAATCTAAATCTTCGACGTTTAAAGCAATCCTCTCGAATCGAAACCGTGTAATTAAAATGAAAGACGACCTCCGCAGGGGTGAACGCTCGTTATTTCCGACGATTCCAATTTACTTTCAATTCATTCAACGACGATGATCAATACGATCCTTTAGAAAATCCTCTTTGCTCTCGAGGATCTCCTCTCGAGGAACGAGGCATAGAGAGCTGTCAACCGTTGTCCAGATCAGGGAAGATTATCGTTTAAAGATGTTTCACGAAATTCGAGCGCCCTCGTCTCGCTTGCTCTCGTGCGCCATGGCCATGTGGTTCTTTTCAACGGGGGGAGGGAGGGAGGCCGCCATTTTTCGTCTACCGAGGGTCACGTATAGCGAAAAATGCGTCACGTTTGTCCACTCGAAAGCTGTTTCAAAGAGATATTGTCGACT